AATTAACCCTTCATCTCAGTTAAATGGGTATTTAGGTATTTCTGCCTCTCATATGAAACCTAATAAAAACCAATTTTATTTTCTCACTAATAAGGTTAAAAAGAAGCTTTCTCTCTGAAAAATGAAAAACTTGTCCCTAGCTGGCAAAGTTACTCTTGCCCAATCTTGCATGATCAGCATTCCTATTTATGTTATGCAAACTCAACTTATCCCTATTGCTGTTTGCAATGATATCAATAACATATGCAAAAAGTTCATCTGCGAGATGGGGTAAAAAAATGTCATTTTATAGGCTGAGAAAAAAATTTATAAATAAAAAAAAGGAAGGGAGTCTTGGCTTTAGAAATATGCATATGTTAATGATAGAAACAACCCAAGAAACAGCAAGAAAATGTCGATATTAAGGAAAATCAGAAAAAGACAAATGCATTAACAAGAATGGAAAAATGGAGCACTAAGCAGCTCCTACGCTCCAAGTCCTAATTCAGAAAAATCCCCCTTTCTCCCTCCCACTAGCCAACAATTATACCCTTTTCTCATAATAGAATATTTACTAATCATTCTCTCGTCCCACCCCTCTACAAGACACACACATGTCTTCACAATTAGTTAGGATTGGGCCCACCTGGATCACACCCTTCTCCCAACTTATTATTTCCCAAGTTGCTCCCGAGTTTCTATTTTTTATACACTTTTACCCCATCTAGAATTCGATCCCTAACAATACCCCCCTCTTGAACTACCACCTTGTCCTCAAGGTGGAAGTGAGGGAAGCTTAGTTGGATGTCAGCTGCTAGTTCCCATGAGCTCAAAAACTCTGGCATATCTTTCCACTGAATCAGAACTTCCAATCCTCCTTAGAGGTTTCTTCTTGCTGCCATCACTTCAGCTGGCTGTAACTTCAGCTCCCAGTCTTTTGCAAGACCCACTGGGAGAGACTGGCTCTTGACATTGGGGGCTATACATTTCTTGAGTAAAGAAACATGAAAACTGGGTGTACCATAGATTCAGCAGGCAGTTTAAGTTTATACACTACCTTTCCAATTCTTTCCAGCACTTCAAAAGGTCCATAGTACCTTGGGCTAAGTTTCTGAGTGACATGGTTGGCCAAGGAACGTAGCCTATAAGGTTGGATCTTTAAATAGACATTCTCTCCTACTGCAAATTCCACATCCCTTCTCTTCTGGTTGGCCTGGTTCTTCATGCGAACTTGAGCCCTGTCTAGTTGCCATTTGAGCTCATCTAATATGACATTTTTTCAGCCAACAGGTGGTTCACTTCCTCCACTGCAGATGAGGCTACATCTCCCTTGATTAATGGAGGTGGTTCCCACCCATATAAACTCTTGAATGGGCAAGTATTGGTGGCTGAACTGTAGATGGTGTTATACCATAATTCAGCCAAACATAACCACTTTGGCCCTTACTTTGGCTTCATTCCTGCAAAACATCTTAGGTATGTCTCTAAGCACCTATTGACTACCTCCGTCTGCCCATCCATTTGTGGATGGTACGCAGAATTAAATTTCAATTTAGTTCTTGCCTGCTTAAATAATTCAGCCTAGAAAGTGCTCATAAAAATTCAGTCACAATCAGTGACTATTGATTGCAGAAATCTGTGTAGTCGCACCACCTCCTTCACAAAAATGTTAGCAATGTCCTTAGCTGAATAAGGGTGAAAATTGCTAACAAATGGGATTATTTAGTAAGTCTGTCAACCACCACCAAGATAGTATCCATCCCTTGAGCTTTAAGGAAACCCCTTATGAAATCTATTGATAAATCCTCCTAGACTTGAGAGGGAATTGGCAATATCTAAAGCAATCCAAGTCTGATATTTGTTTCTACTGCAAGTTTCACACAACTGAATATACTATTGAATAGTCTTTCTTATCCCTTCCCACCACAATAGTCGTGCCATATGTTTATAGGTATGAAAAAAACCCGAGTGTCCTCCCAAAGCAGTGTCATGGAATTCTTGCAAGAGTAAGAAAATTCTAGGGGAGTTCTTGGGTATCACTAACCTCTTTTGGTAGAATAAATGCCCCCTTTTAATTCAAATCCTGACTGTATTTTACTACCTTGCAGTAAATCATGCATAATCTGTTTCAGCTGCTCATCCCTTTGGACCTCCTCCTCTACTCCATCCCAATCCTGGAAGGTAACACTAGAAATGGCAGCAAAGCACATTTTCCTAGATAAAGCATCAATAGCTCCATTATCTTTTCTCGCCTTGTACTATATTTCAAAATCAAAACCAAACAGTTTGACCACCCATTTCTGTTGTCCCTCACCCATCATTCTTTGGTCCACCAAGAACTTCAAGCTTTTATGATTAGTGTGTATCACAAATTTTCTTCTCAGCAGGTAGTGAAGTCATTTCTGGACCGCCATTACTATAGCCATGAGTTCACTTTCATAAATTGATTTTTGTTAGGCCCTTTCTGATAGCCTTTGACTTAGATAAGCTAATGGACATCCCTCTTGCATTAGAACCGCCCTAACGCCCTTTCCTGAAGCATCTGTTTCAATTACAAACGGCTTCTCAAAATTAAGGGTCGCTAAAATAAGGAGTGTAGTCATTGTTTGCTTGAGTCTCTCAAAAGCCAGCTAAGCTTCAGTACCCCACTTGAACCCATCTTTCTTTAGAAGTTGAGTAAGTGGCCAAGCTAATTTCCCATACCCCTTCACAAACCTTTGATAATAACTAGTAATTCCCAAGAAACCTCTTAGCACTTTCAAATCAGTAGGTACAGGCCATGTCAACATGGCTTCTATCTTTTTAGAATTTGCTGCTACTCCTTCCCCTGAAATGATATGCTCTAAATACTCAATTTCTATTATGGTGAAACAACACTTTTTCTTGTTAATGAAGAGAGTGTATTGTTTCAGTAGCTCTAACACTTGTTGTAATTGATTCAGATGCTCCTCTTCTGTCTTACTAAAAATCAGTATATCATCGAAAAAGACAAGAACAAATTTTCGCAAAAAGAGTTTCAATATCTGATTCATTAATGCTTGGAATGTGGATGGTGCATTTGTTAGGCCAAAGGGCATTATCAAGAATTCGTAATGTCCTTCGAAATGATGTCTTCTCGATGTCTCTCTCTTTCATCCATATTTGGTGGTACTCTAACTTTAAATCCAATTTAGAAAATATTCTAGCTCCCCAAGTTATTAAATAAATTAATAATAAGGGTCTTTGAACCCGTTTAATATAAAAAAATAAATTAATAATAAATATTATAATCACAATTTTTAAATAAAAATATTTTGAATAATAATCTTAAATACAAGTATTTTATAAAAACAAATTTAATGTTACGTGACTTCTTTTATTTTGATTTTCTTTTAAAACTTAATCTTCACTTTTTATCATTATCTTTAAACATAATATAATAAAATATTTATTTTTTAAAATTATAAAATCAATTAAATTTAAATATAATCTGGCAATTTATTATACTGTGTAATACACAAAAATAAAAATTGTTCACCAATAAAAAAAATGTTAAAGATTTAGATTAGTAACACTAAAAAAAAATATTATTATAGAAACACTCATTATAACATTATTTTATTCTATTATCTCGCTATAAAATTATATATATATATATATATATATATATATATATATAACACTCATAATTTGTTTCTTTAGTTAATTAAGATTATTAATATTAAAATGAGACGTTATTTTGTGTTTCATCTTTAGATTGTTTAATCTATTCATAAAGTAAATCTAAACCACATAAAATATATTGCTGAATTAACTTTGAGTTTGTTTAATTATATATTTAGAAATTAATTGCAAAGGAAATGGTGGTGCTAACTGAAGCATGTGAGAAACCAAGTGCTTTATTCATAGATGGATGCATAGGCTCATCTGGGAACCAACAATGTGACTATCTTTACAGGAGGGGAGAAAACTTACTAAGTGGCTCATGCAAAAATCAGAAGCGTGTTTGTGCTTATTCAACCATATATTATGACCCATCACATATATAATATATATAAATAAAACCTATCTAGCTATAATTTCCTTATAGCTAGTTCAGTTAATCTTCACCAAATAAATTATAATAAATTTATTCTCCTTTTTTTATGGAGAAGTTAATTATGGATCATAATTTTTTGTCTATTTAATTTAATTTGAATTTGATCGGATTACTCGCTTAAACGTAATAGGTGAGTTTATTATTAATTTTTTTTTATATATATACAAAAATTTAAACTCAAAATCTTACTTAAATGATATTAAATTGCTTGTTTTATAGATCAATTTTTGTTAATTTAATACAAATTTTCTTTGTTTTTAATTCTAAATGAATTTTGTTTTAATTTTTAGTTTAAACTAAACAAAAGATGCTGAATTAAGAGAAGAGTTAAAATAGATACAAGTGCTACACTGTATAAAAATTAATATAAACATGTTAAGAGAAAAAAATTGATTTAATCTAATTTTTATAATAAAAAATAAAAATTCTAAATTATATTATGATTTTTTTAATTTTTTAAATTGGTTTAGTGATTCAAAAATTATTAATTGATGGATTGATTTTTAATACTCTCAAACAAATACTTATATATTTTAATTTATAATGAAAGATTGTAATAAAAATATTTAAAAAAGGCTTTTCTATAATTTGTTTATATGAAGAAATTAATCAATCCAAATATATTAATTTAAAAAAAAACTTTTTTTAAAAGAAAAATGAAAGATACTTTAAAAGATGGTTTTATTGACTTATCTAATTACAAAAATGTCCCTGTGACGACGATTACACATCAAAGAAAAGCAGAACGACAAGTCAATAATTAATCTCAACTTTTGATTAAATTATTATTATTATATTTATTGCATATTTATAATATTAGATCGAAGATAGCAAGCATTGACCATTAAGACTTAAAAAAGATGGTTTGAGTGACATAGCTAATTACAAAAGTGTCCCTGTGATGGGCAGATATAAGAGCAATAATGTTTATGCTGCAGCCATTGCCAATCTCAAACTGAACACAGTGAGATCTATTCTCTTCTTCATCAGATCTAAGGAATATGGAAAACGTTCCATTTGCTGTTGCGTCTAATCTCATTCACAGGTTCCTTTTTCCACCCTTTCTTCAATTTCAACAATAACTATCCATTTTTTAATTCTTCCACAACATGCTTAGCTTACAGTTTAGGTTTTTTTTCGTTATAGTTTTCACTGGTTCTTATTTTGTTTGTTTTAATCTCTTTCACCCTTTTATTATTTTTTTTTGCAAAGGTTATCTCTTTTATTTTCTTTGAATATTTGTTTCTAATGCTTAGTATTTAAGGTTTATTTACTAATATTAGTTTATAAAATTCTAATTTACATCAGTAAAGTAATTAAAATGTTGTAAATATTTACATTTTTTTTGTTTATAAGTTTATATGCATGCTATCCAATCTTGTTATCATGCTGAAATCTCAAAAATCAATATCTTAACTTAATCAAGATATTTAAAATAAACATCAAATTTTATAATTTATAATTTATATTTTTATATGTTTAGTATTAATGGTGAAAAAAATATTTATTCCAATTAAGGTTGATTATATAATATAAAATAAATGTATAGAAGACAAAAATTACACCTTTTAAAGATGAATCACACATTATACATTTTTGTTATACTTTTATTAAATTTAAATAAAACAGTCTATTGAAACTATAAATTTGTTTACCTAACCTTTTCGCATTGTTAAAATTTAATCAAATATTCTTTTAAAAATATTTTTATTATAAATTAATATTTTGAAAATCATTAATTAAAATATATGCTTAATAAATATAATTTTATTATATTAAATTCAAATAATCCAGCACATATTATAGATAAACTAGTAGAATATATAATTTTTATGTCACAATTTAATAATTGTGTCGTGATAAAAAAATTTAAAATTTACTTTAAAATTAATTAAATTTAATAATAAAAAGATAAATATAACAAAATTAATATAAGAGAAGCTAAACAAATAAATATAAAAAAAAATTCCAAAGCACTCCTTTATTCGAGAATGAACACAGACTGGTGCACACAAGAGAATTGATATGATGCGGAGTTACAATAAATTACTTTCTATGGTAATTTTTATGAGATGAACATTATTAAAAAATAATTATGTGTTATAAATTAATGTTACGTAGGAAAATGTTCCAGGAATTATATACTACATCCTACTCTATTGGGGGGATTACATTAATAATAATATTTTAAAAAAATATCTTAAACAAGGAGATTTTGGAGTGATAATTAATATTTTTCTCTCTTTTGTACTATAATTATAAAAAATAAATATCTACTTTTAGATGTGTCGTGCATATGGAAATTCTGATTGGTAAGGATTTGTAACTGAGCCGGCCATGAACAAATCATGATTCAATCAATTGAATTTGTAGATTATTATTACATAGTTTTCCTTTTCCTCTATTCTTATGCCAATATTTTTAGACATTGCTCAACTTTCTCTCAACAAAGCACCCTTCTATGTAGTCTTTTTTAATCATCTTAAGGATGGCTGATTCAGTTCCATTTGCTGTTACTTCAAATCTCAGGTTGGCTTCCTCAGATTTTCTTGAATTTGGAAAGCATTATGATGTGACGGAAGAGTTGGAAGAGCTTAAGAACACTATTGAATCCATCAATGCTAAGCTCCTTGATGCCGACGATAAACAAGATCAAGATGATGGTGTGCGAGTTTGGATCAGAAGGTTCAAAAAAGTACTCCACACTGCAGATGACTCCTTAGATGACCTTGCTATCCAATTCAGGAGAGACAAACTGGATGCAGCAGAAGGAAAAGAAGTAGACAAGGTACTTCTTTTCATTTCATCTTCAAATCAACTTCCTTTATACACTGAAATGCCTGACAAAATTAAAGAAATACGAGAAAGTTTTAATGGTGTAGTAGAAGACATGGATAAATTGAATTTAAGCCCAGGTTCTCTGGTTAAGCAAACTAACAGTGAATGGAGGGAAACATGTTCTTTTGTGCTAGAATCTGATATCATTGGAAGAGATGATAGTAAAAAGGAGATTATTAGTCTGTTGAGACAAACTCATGAAAACAGAAAAGTTTCTGTGATTGCTATTTTTGGCCTCGGTGGCTTGGGGAAGACAACGCTTGCTCAGTTGGTGTATAATGACTTGGAAGTGCAGAATTGTTTTGAAAAGAAAATGTGGGTGTGTGTCTCTGATAACTTTGATGTGAAAACTATTCTGAAGAAAATATTGGAATCAGTTACTCGTCGCCCGACAGCAGATGGGTTGTCATTAGACTACTTGCAAGAAGAACTTCGTGAAAATTTAAGTGGTAAGAAATATTTGTTGGTCCTGGATGACATTTGGAATGAGAGACGTGACAAATGGATTGAATTGAGAAAGTATTTGATGTGTGGCGCTCAAGATAGTAAAATTTTAGTGACAACTCGAAGTGAAAATGTAGCAGAGGCAATGACTGCCAGCACTTCCTATCCTTTGAAAGGTTTGACTGATGAAGCATCTTGGAGTTTGTTGAAGAGCGTTGCATTTGAGGATGATTTGAAAGGAGTGAATCAAAATCTAGAATCAATGGGGAAAGAAATAGCCAAAAAATGTAAAGGGGTTCCACTGGCAGTTAAAACCCTGGGAGGCCTGTTAGGAGGACAAAACGAAGAAAGTGTATGGGAGAATGTTTTAAGCGGTGACTTCTGGAAATCATGTGAAGAGCAAGATAGTATCATGCCAATTCTAAAACTCAGTTACCGCAACTTGTCGCCAGAAATGAGACAATGTTTTGCTTATTGCTCTTTGTACCCCAAGGATTCTAGAATTCAAAAGGATGAGTTGATTCAGTTATGGATGGCACAGGGTTACCTTCAATGTTCAACTGAAAAACAGCAGATGGAGGATGTCGGTAATCAATTTGTAAAGATATTTTGGATGAACTCATTTTTTCAAGATGCGGATGGTGAATTCGGTGAGATCATTAGTTTCAAAATGCATGATTTAATGCATGATCTTGCAATGCTAGTAGCTGGCAGTGATTATTGTTACTTGGATAGTAAGGCAGAAAAAGTTGAAGGTAGACCCATGCACGTATCATTGGAATCTGAAGAGGCCATTCATTTGTTGCAATCATTAGATCCGACCAGGCTGCGAACTTTGATTTTTCCATATTACTTGAGAGAGGAGGTAGATTTGTCGGTGATTGCAAAGTTCAAATACTTACGTGTCTTGAGGATGGATTCTCTCTCTGATTCCACTGAACATTTGAAGCATTTAAGATACCTTGCTTTAATAAGTCTTCCCAAATCTCTGAGCAATCTTGTTTTCCTACAAACATTAAAATTGTTGATGTGCGACGAAGAATCATTTTCAGAAGTAGTCACAAAATTGGTCAATTTGAGGTGCCTTGCTATTGCTAACCCCATGAGTGGGATGGCAGTTGGATTGAGAAAATTATGCTCTTTGCAATTATTATCGACCTTGGTTGTGGGAGACAGCCAAGAAATAAAATATGGCACACTAAATGAACTGAAGGACTTAAACCTAATAAGAGGCAAATTAGAAATTGTGCATCTGAATCGTGTGAGAGACGTGGCTCTGGAATCCCAGCACGTAAATTTAAAAGGAAAAAAATTCCTTGAATTCTTGATTCTGGATTGGTCGCGTGAAGACCTTCGTAACACTGACAGCTTGCAATTATTGGAAAACCTTCAGCCACACCGCAATCTCAAGCGATTGGAGGTGAATAATTATCCAGGCGTGCTTTTCCCAAATTGGCTCTCTCTCCTCACAAATGTTATTCACATCACTCTCTGGGGGTTTGATAATTGTCGGTGTCTCCCACCGTTGGAACGTATCCCGTCCCTGAAGTCACTTAAGATAGACTGTCTTTATGAATTGGAATGCATATATCTCTGCGAAGATGGTTTTGCATTAACCTTCTTCCCCTCTTTGGAGAGCCTTACAATAACACGTTGTCCCAAGTTCAGGGGATGGCGGAGGCGGGGAGATGATATCAATGATTCACATTATCTCTCCTTACCTCTTTCATTTCCTCATCTTTCTCAACTACACATCTCTAGCTGTCCACAGTTGACTTGCATGCCTACTTTTCCAAAAGTTGAGAATTTGAACTTGTATCACTGCAGTGCAGAGCCATTAACAGCAACACTAAACTCAACATGTTCACCCGATTCATCTTCCTCCGCTGCTCCTCTCTCCATGCTCAAACAATTGATGATTTCTGATCGTATGAATTTACCAAAGGGTTGGATGCAAAATCTGACTTCTCTCGAGTCTCTTCTAATTCAATGGTGTGAAAGTGAAACACTTGAGGAATTTGAAACTGGGTTTAAGGACGACACCAACTGCCTTCCTTCTCTGCGAAAAATCAGCATACATGGGTGTAATAGGCTAAAGGCCTTGCCAGATTGGATTTGCAACCTCTCATCGCTTCAGCATATCGAGATCTACTTTTGCCGAAATTTGGCATCGCTGCCCGAAGGAATGAGTGGTCTTACCAACTTAAAGATCTTTGAGGTCTATGGTAGTCTCCTCTTAGTTAAAGAATGCCGAATAGAGACAAGTGCTGTTAGTCGCCAAATCGCGCATATCCCACAAATAATCCTTCATGATTAGGGATGATAAAGGTAGTGATCTGATTCTGATGCGTATTTATTTGTCTTGTATTTGCTTTGCTAATAAAATACTTTTTTAGTTAGTGATCATTTGTTTTAATTATAAATACAAATTATCTTAATCACATTAATTTTCAATTGTTAAACATTATCCGAGTCTTAATATATGTAATGCCAATAAGTTTTTTTTTTCTCTGCACCGATATTATTACAAAAATAAAATTTTTGAATAACAATTCAAATATTATATAATTCAATAAATTTTATAAATAAATATTTTATTATATTAATAATATTAAATTAAAGAAAGATAATTATAAATTTTGTATTAGAAATTCATTTAAAAAATTAAAATAATTTTATAATTAATAAAATTTATAAATATTAATATATAAATATTTATTTTTTAATAATAATATTATATTAAGTAAGATTAAATTAAAAATAAAATTTCAAAATTAAGAACTAATTAAAAATATTTAATATAAAATTTAAATTAAGAAATAATTAAAAAAATTAAATGTTGAATGCATAAAAAAGTCATGTAACATAATAATAATAATAATAATAAAGATAATTAATACCTAAAAACCTTCTCTTTTAAACATCAGGTCTCAAATTATAAAAGTATTTATATGCAATAAAAAATTGATTATTATTGTAAAATAAATATACACTAATTTGAGTTTCTTCAACTTTATAAATGTAAAATATAAATTGATGTTTTGTATAGTTTTAATCTTTGTTTATTTTTTATAAGATTTTTAAAGTATGCTTTGTATATACTAATTTGTATAGTTAGATATTTTTTTTTATAATTATATATAATATTGTTCTTAAATTTTGTCCATAATAATACTTTCGCGTTGGACCCATTTCATTAACCTTTATTTGAGTGTTTTGTTTCCATGCCATGAACTTCATCCTTTGCCCTCAACCCAAAGTCAATGTTCTTCTTGCTTTAATTTCAAATGTAAAGTATGGGTTGACTTCGTTCATCATATTCTTACCTCAAGATAATTTTTTTTATCAAACGCATCTTCTGATTTTTTTTGCCATAAATTTTCAATTAGAAAAAAAAATTATGTTTAGGATAGAATTAATTTTAAAACAAATAATATTCGAAGATCAATATTTTGAAAAATAAAATAGATTAAGGCCCAGTTTTAGTAAATTTTTAAATAAATTTTTACATAAGAAAAAATTAGTATAAAAATGAATAATTTTTTTTTATAAATTGAGAAAATAAGATAAAATTTATTTATTTTTATACTAATATTTTCCTCTTATAAAAATTTCTCCAAAAATATACTCAAACCAAATCTAAAAGTCTACTAATTTTTATATAATTTTAAAAAATAGTTGATATTTTGTTGTCTCACTTTATTTTAACATATAATATATCATTTAAAATGTAAATACAAAGCTATTATTAGGTTGTACTATCATCATTTGGGACAATATCATTATGAAGGTTGGGAAAGTTGTCAAGAAAATTTTAAATGAATCGGTAAGTTTTGAACTAAAAGATAAAGAATCATAGTAATGAAATGAAAGTATGCAAGAGAATATTAGAGAAAAAAGAATGTATTTTAAAATTTTTCATACATGTAATAATGCTAAAAATTGGGCAAGGTGTCAAAAGATAAGAAATGAGACAAGAAAAGTATTGAATGCCATTCTAAGACTGTTAAAGGATTTTACCAAAATCTTGAAATAAATATGGTGAAAGGAGGATTTATAAACTTGTCGAAAGTAAAGAAAGAAAATTTAGAGATTTGGAACAAGTTAGATGTATTAAGGATGAACAAGGAAAAAGTTTGATTTTAAATCAAGACATCAACGATTGATGGGAGAAATATTTCTGTCAACTTTTTAACGAGAGACAAGGAGCAAATGAAAATTTGGTAGAATAAGAAGTGCAAACATATAGTCTACGTTTGACATATTACCATAGGATTCAAGTTGAAAGAGTAAAGAAGTTTTTAAAAGAATGAAAAATGGTAAAGCAATTAGCCCCAATAATATTTATATTGAAGTTTGGAAAAATAAGAACTGGAGTGACTTACTAAGCTCTTTAATAAGATTTTGAAAATTTAGAATATGTCACATGAATCATGGAAAAACATTTGGTTCCTATATAGAAGAATAAGGGTGATATCTAAAATTATGCAAACTATATAAGGATTAAACTCATGAGTCACACTATGAAATTATGAGAAAAAGTGATTGAACATAGAATACGGGAGAGAATTGAGATTGCAAAAAACCAATTTAGTTTTATGCTAGCAAAGTTTACAACAAAAACTATATATCTTTTTCAAAAGATTATGGAAAAATATGACTACGAAGAAAAGGACTTGCATAAGATTTTTACTGAATTGGAAAACATATATGATTGGATATCAAAAAAGGTGTTATGAAAAACTTTTAAAAAAGAAAAGAGTATGTGTAACGTATATTTGAGTTATGCAAGACAATATAAGAACTTTTTAAGGTGTATCCAAAGACTTACCAATTAGAATTGGTTTATATCAAGACTTTGTTTTGCGTCCTTACTTAACCTAATCTTAAATGTACTTACAAATAACATACAAAAGATTATCTCCGAGTACATACTTTAGTGTCAATTGAGGATTCAAAAGAAGAGTTTAATGCCAAACTTGAGTTATGAAGGAAAAGTTTTAAATTTTAAGGGTTTGCTTGTGTAGAAGTAAGACAAAGTATATACATTATAGATTTAGCAAAAAACCAAGATGATGATCATGTGTTGAAAGTTATAATTAGATATGATAATACTACAAGTTTTCAGTTTCAGTTACTTGGAATCAATTAAACAAAATAATAGAGAAATTAATAAATATATTACTCACAGAATATAAGATAAGTAATTAAAGTGGAGAAGACATTAAGAGTTATTTGTGATTGTAAAATAATTATTAAGCTAAAAGGAAATTTTTATTATACTACAATACGACCAATTGTTTTATATATTAATGAATGTTGGGCAGTAAAAGAACAACATGAGAAAAAAGTGAGACTGATAAAAATGGAAATTATAAGGTGGATGAGTGGACGAAAAAGGATATAATACAAATGATAGTATATGAGAGAATATTGAAGTAACAAGTGAGAAAGATAACTGGAAATCATCTAAGGTTGTAATGTCATAGTGCAAAGAAAAGCTTTGGAAGTGTTAATATGAAGAGTGAATTGCATGATTCTTAGTTTGATATAGAAAAGTCAAGGAAGACAAAAAAAAAAATAAAAATTAAACAAAACTGTTAAAAAAGACATTTTGAGGTACTTAACTTATGGAAATTTAGTTTTTGACAGAGTTAAACGATGTTGTGTAATCTATATAATCAATCAAGTTTGATCACTTTTGTCATATCATAATATTATTACATGAAGTGATCATTACATTATTTTTTTAATAAAAAGTAATTAACAATATTAATTTACTAATCTTAACACTTGATATAATTGGTCCAAATGTTATGTGAATCTTATTCTCTTATTTTACTCATCTCGTCTTAGAAGAAACAAATTTTAAAGAAAGATACCTTGGATTGACACTAATTACATAATGCTTGTTTATTTTTTAGCTTTTCTCTAAACCCAAATCGAATTTTTAAATAAAAATAAACATAAAGAAAAGCGGTTTATAATTTTTGAATGCAAATAAAATGACAATGATAAATTTTAAATTTTGAAGGACATTCTGTGAGGTTTACAAACATGCTTATGAACTAAATATATTCAAACACAGATCATAGATCATGGATAACGATAATGGTGGCAACAAGGTTCGTCGGATCGCTTTGTCAAATGGGTTCTTCCTCTTCCGAATGTCCCTGCTTCTTCTTGGACAAGACAAATAAGAGAAAAAGGAACACTTATTGTGGAACAAAAATAATTAAAACACTTAATTTTCATGTTATCATAAACTAACCATTCCAGAATCACATCAATGGGTAATGCATGATGGTGAAATTCAATTCAACTTCTAATGTAAATGCACATCGATATTGTTGTATGATATGCATTTCTACACATATGTGAATGGAAAAGACAAGAATATTCATACAAATAACAAATGGATTAATTTTACCTACTTTTATATAGTCCAGAAGCATCAGCAGGTTGAATGCTGTTGCCTTGGCACATACATAAAACACACAAAAAAAGAGGACAACCCAAACAAGGGAGATTCTTTTAGAAGCCATAGTTTTGTTCACAAGAAAATGTTTTCAACATATCCTATTTATAATCCAAACATCTTTGGTGTTGCTTTCCACTCAAACATTTTAATTTGTCTAACATTGACACAATGTTTGACTTTGATGCATCTTTGTTTTGTTATCTGACTTATTTTGTGTGTCTGCTTCTTCCTGCATGCTTCCGCGTAACCTATGTCATTTCATGGGGTGCCGTGATGGACACGGTCAATTACCCATTGTTGATGCCCTTTAACTTCCACAATATATCGCAAAATAAGAAGTAAAAAAACAAAAAAAAAATCTCATTTTTACTTTTAAAATTAAAAAATTAAAATTATACATGAGTTCAAATATAAAAATTAAAAGTACAATTAAGTTAGATGACTAAACATAAATCTTGTAAATGATAAATTGATTTTGTTTTTATACAAACCGTCATATTTTTATTGCTATTTTCTCTTATAATTAATTTTTTTTTTTGGTCTCTAAGTCAGTTGTCTCTTCCATTTTACTTTTTGATATACTTACCTTTAAATTCCCTTGTTTCAATAGTCAAGTTTTGACTTCATTTGATTTAATAAAAATTTAATGCTTGTTTGCTTTAACTTACTTTTAAAGAATAAGTCATTATTTTTCTAAATTCAAGCAATTCCAAATGTGCATTTAACAGAGTTACATGCAAACACATCAATTCAATATTTAGAAGAAATATCATTAAGATACATAAATTCCATGTTTTTTAAATTCAAAGTCATAAACAAGCCTTTTATTCTCTAATATTGACCTAAAAATGTTAATTCATTCTTTTTAAGCTTGTTTCATAATCATATTTTATAGAAGCTAAGTTCGTAAACTTTCAAAAGACACGTTTAAACGGATTCTCAACTTTTAGCTTGGCTTGTTATCCAAGGATGCATGTAACATCTATATCTCAAAACCTTTCATTTGATGTTTTTGGACTCTACCCATGCAGAACTGGGGAGTGAAGTGTCATGTCTCCATCATGAGGAAAATATTGCATGTGTCTGCATAGAGTTGTCCCAAACACTCAGTTATTCTTCCACACTCCAATCTTTACTCAGCAGTTTAAGGCTTTTATCAGTTGTCCCTAACAACTATAATATATGAAACATCATGCATCTCGTAAAATTATAATGCCTTGATTTAGGTACGTTGATTTTCAAGTAGCGATTACAGAACAACAAAATATTGTCAAAGTACAAGGCATTAAATTTACGTGAGTCATAGGATTTAACATGAATATTTTTTTTTCTTATTAACCAGTTTTTGTGCCCATCAATCTATGCAACATGCTTCTTGGCATATAGAGAGAATTTTTCTTATCTTTCCAGTAAACAAAAACTAATTTGTAACTTCAAAAAAATGTTCATTGAACAGTGATACAATTTTCAGTTCTCCCCTTCAGACAAGAAAAGTTTGAATTTCCTTTCTCTTGACTCTATCATGTGGTGGATCTCTAGATACTTCTGAAACTCTGAACACTTGATCATCTCTGATACATGTTAGATATAAGAAAAAATATATATATCCATAAGTCCTCATAAAAAACCTTTAGATTTTGGAAAAACTGGCTATTGGAAACAACTGATATGAAGAGGGAGAACAATGAAATCAGATTAAAATATGAGTAGAAAGAAGTAACTCAACTACATTTAATCCTTGATTGATGAACTTACATTGACGTTCCAATTTCAATAGCACACATCTGGATCTAGATCCTCAAAACTACATATACCCCTAACATTTATTGTAGGAAAACAAAGTAAGAAATAAATTATATATTAAAGCTTACATATACCCTGTATATATTTTCACATACCTTTTCATACATTTCCTTCTCGAGCTACAATAAGTTCCTCCAAGTTTTCAGTGTCACCAATATCTGTAGGTAACAACAAGTCATCCTCAGTTGTTATATTGTATCTACCCCCAATAGCTCTTAAAAGCTGATATACTTCAAACATGGTGGGCCTCTCCTTAGGAGTTGGTACAACACAGTTGCACGCAACCTTTAAAAATTGGAAAAGCTCGTTATCATCACCCTTGCCAACTAGTGATTCATCACTGGCATCCTGGAGTTGTGAGTTGCTTGAGAGCTCTGTAATCCATTCTACTAGATTTCCTTTAAAAGTTTCTGGAGCTTTAGCCACAGTGGTAGGTCTTTCACCAGTCACCAACTCAAGAGGCACAGTTCCAAAGCTATAAATATGCCCCTTCGGGGTAGCAACCAAAGTTCCAGTGTATTCAGGAGCAACATATCCAAAATCCCCAAACTCGCCATTTACGAAAGTACTCAGATGAGTATCAATTGGGTTTATCAGTCTGGCAAGGCCAAAATCAGAAATTTTGGGCTCAAAATCAAGATGCACTTTGCGCTTACGTTTCAGTGGATGATACGGGGATTGCAGCTATGATGAAGCCATGCTAAACCTTTGGCTGCTCCAAGTGCAATTTTGAGCCTCATGGACCAGTCAAGAGTGCTCCCACCATCTGCAGGATGTAGTTGATCATAGAGGTTGCCATTTGGCCTGTTTTTATAGACCAAAAGCCTCTCCTTTTTGGCCATGCAGAAACCTAAAAGAGGAACCAGGTTACGATGTCTGACAGTCTCCAGTGTACCCATTTTAGACATAAATTCTTTCTCAGAGTGCTGAGATTGCTGCAGTCTCTTAACCATAAGTGTTGTGCCATCATCAAGAACAAGGAAACCTGATGTCCAATTCAGTATAGTCGGACTTCAACATAACTTTCTAATAAGAGTTCAATAGTATATAAATCAGGTAAACTAAGGCTTGTAAATTTTACAGAAATTATTAGAAATTGATACAAATTTCTAGAATAGTCTAGAAAAATACTAGGAAAAATTTAGGAAAAACCATTTAGATATTCTATTTTATAGATACTTCTAGAGAGTGTTCTAGAATATTGTAAATCTTCAAGTTTCAAGATACTTCTAGAAGAAAGTTCTAGAATATTGGATCACTCAAACCTAATGGTGGAGGATGCCTATAAATAGGCAAACCATTCCATTGTAAATGATATGAAGAAGAAGTAATCAAGACATCAATTTCTATCTCTTGAGTCTCTTACTAACACTTTTTCAACTATCATTTTCAACTATTCTTACTAATATTTTAACTATCTTACTCATCTTACCTACACCAAAAACTATCAGTGGTATCAAAGCTACGTTCGGTCATCTATTGGGTGTAGAAGTATTATCATACTATTCTGAACTTAAAATAAACTACTTCCAAAAATTTTCTAACCATGGCTAGCACTACCCAACCATCATCTCTTCTCGTCCCCATTTTCAATGGTGAAAATTATGATTTTTAGAGTACAAAAATGAAGACATATTTCACTTTCCAAGATTTGTGGGATGTTGTCGAAGAAGGATTCACTACCCCCATAGACATATCATCTCTTCCTGCAGTTCAAAGAAAAGAATTGAAGGACAATAAACAAAAAAATTCGAAGGCCTTGTTTACTCTACAACAAGCTGTGACTGACGCAATTTTTTCAAGAATAATGGGTGCTACAACAGCCAAAGAAGCATGGAGTATGTTGCAGGAGGAGTTTGAAGGAAGCAAAAAGGTACGCGCTAGAAAACTCTAAACTCTACGACGAGAGTTTGAATTATTATAAATGAAAGAGTCTGAGACTGTCAAGGATTATTATTCCAAAATAGAAGAAATTGTTAATCAAATGAGAGCTTACGAAGAAAATATTCTTGACAAAAAAGTTGTTGAGCAATTACTGATTACTGATTACAGTTTCCCATAAGTATGATCCAATTGTCACCACTATTGAGCAAACAAAGGACCTATCTACTCTATCAGTGACAGAGTTGGTAGGGTCCCTTGAAGCTTATGAGCAAAGGTTGAAAAGGCATGATGAGGACTCAATAGAAAATGCCTTTCAATCAAAGCTTAAATTACAGTCTCAGAATAAAGGAAGAAAGAATAATGGAGAAACTTTTAGAAACAAAGAGGATTATAGAAATTTCTCTAGAAACAATAAAGATAAATATCCTCCATGTGGCATCTGTAAGAGGACAAATCATGCTGAATAAGAATGTCGCTATCGTAACAAACCACAATGTCGACACTGCAAGAAATTTGGACACGTGGAAAAGTATTGTCGTAACAAAAACAAGTATCAAGCAAATCTCGTTGAAGAGTATGATCGAGAACCACATCTCTTTTATGCTACCCAAGATTCCAACACTGAAACGAGTGAAAATTGGTATTTGGATAGTGGCTGCAGCAATCACATGGCCAAAGATATAAACATCTTCAAGGATATCGATGAATCCATCAAAGTGAAAGTTCGAATGGGGAACGGTACTATCGCTGAGTTAAAAGGCAAAGACACTGTTATGGTAGAGACAAAGAAACGTACAAAACTTACTACTGATATCTTACTAGTCCCCAACCTCAAGGAAAATCTCTTGAGTATTGGCCAAATGATGGAGAAAGGTTATTCTCTTCACTTCAAAGGGGACACATGTAAGACATATGACAGCAAAAAGCAAGAGATTGGTCAAATAAAGATGGAGAAAACAAATCAAAGTTTTCCAATAAGCTTTCAACAAGGCGCTAATATTGCCATGAAAGCAGAAGTTGATACTTCACGACTTTGGCATCAAAGATTTGGCCACTTCAATAATCATGCCTTAAAAATTCTACATCAAAAGAATATGATGAAGGATCTTCCATGTCTTGAAGAAAATAATGAAGCTTGTGAAGGATGTCTCCTTGGCAAGCAACATCGACTCCCATTTTCTACTGGGAAAGCTTGGAGAGCAAAAGACTTATTGGAGCTTATTCATACAGATATTTGCGGACTAATGCGGACACCATCACTTCATGATAACAGGTATTTTATCCTTTTCAACGATGATTTTTCTAGAATGACTTGGGTCTACTTCATCAAAGCAAAGTCAGAAGTCTTTGGAATATTCAAGAAGGTTAAGGCCCTTGTCAAGAAGCAAAGTGGTAAACAAATAAAAGTATTAAGAAGTGATCGTGGCAAAGAGTATACCTCTCAAGAGTTTGATAAATTCTGTGAGGATGAAGGCATTCAGCGACAACTTACTGTCGCATATACTCCACAACAAAATGGAGTAACTGAGAGAAAAAACTGAACGGTAATGGAGATGGCTAGATCCATGCTGAAGAAGAGAGAATTGCCAAATACCTTCTGGGCTGAAGCAGTTTATATTGTTGTCTACATACTTAACAGATGCCCAACTAAGGCTGTCTAAGATAAAACTCCAATTGAAGCTTGGAGTGGGCAAAAACCATCAGCAAAACATCTAAGAGTTTTTGGATCAATTTGCTAAAGGTATCTTCTTGGGATATAACACACAGTCAAAAAGATATCGAGTTTTCAATTTACAAACCAAGAAGCTCACCATTAGTCGAGATGTTGAAGTTAATGAAAATGCTGCTTGGAATTGAAAAGATGAAAAAGTTCAGAAAAATATTTTCATACCAATGCAGCAACCTCAAGAAATTGAAGAAGTCTCAGGTGAGAATTTTTCACCTCCACAACAACAACATTCCTCACCAGAGTCTACTCCAAGATGAGTTAGATCTTTGGTAGATATATATGAGACTTGTAACCTAGCCATAACTGAACCCAAGAGCTTTGAAGTAGAGTCAAAACAAGAAGTATAGGTCAAGGCAATGGAAGAAGAAATAAAAATAATTGAGAAAAATAACACATGGGAGCTAGTAGATTGCCCCACATATAAAGATATAAAAAATGGGTCTATAAGACCAAGCTTAATCCTGATGACACAATACAAAAGTACAAGGCAAGGCTGGTAGCTAAAGGATACTCACAACAACCTAGAGTTGATTACAACGAGACATTTGCTCCAGTTGCACACCTAGATACTATAAAAACCCTAATTGCTCTTGCTGCACAAAAAGGATGGAATATTTACCAACTAAATGTAAAATCTGCCTTTCTCAATGGCATTCTTCAAGAATAAATTTATGTGGAGCAACCACAAGGCTTCATCAGCAAAGGTAATGAAGGCAAAGTACTAAGATTGAAAAAAGCTCTATATGGATTGAAGCAAGCTCCACGAGCATGGTACAACAAAATTAATCAATACTTTGCAGATCAAGGATTCAGGAGGAGAAAAAGTGAAGAAACTTTATACACCAAGATCCAAGGTCAGTATGACATACTCATTGTCTCCTTGTATGTAGATGATCTTATCTGCACAGGAAACAATGTGGAGATGATAGCTAAGTTCAAAGAAGATATGATGAAGACCTTCAAAATGACTGACCTTGGCTTGATGAACTACTTCCTCGGAATAGAGGTAAAACAAAAGAAAGAAGGAATATTTATCTCACAGAAGAAATACATTGAAGCATTACTGAAGAAATTCAAGATGGATGGATGTAAGACTGTTGGCACTCTATTGGTGACAAATGAGAAATTGAAGAAAAATAATGGTGCACCAGAAGCTGATGCATCACGTTACAAAAGTTTGATTGGAAGCTTACTATATCTCACAGCCACACGACCAAACATAATGTATGCTGTAAGTCTTCTTTCAAGATTCATGCAAAGTCTAAGTCAAATTCACTTTGGAACAGCAAAAAGAATCCTAAGATATCTACAAGGCACAAAGGAGTATGGTATATGGTACAAAACTATAAGCAACTCAAAGCTACTTGGCTACACCGATAGTGACTGGGCAGGATCTATTGACAACATGAAGAGCACATCTGGCTATGCCTTTTCACTAGGATCAGGAACAATCTCATGGGCTTCAAAGAAGTAAGCAATAGTTGCACAATTAACAGCAGAAGCAGAATATGTGGCAGCTGCTGAAACTACAAGTCAAGCAATATAGTTACGAAGAATACTTAAAGAAATAGGAGAAAAACAAAACGAACCTACTACAATCTACTGCGACAACAAATCAGTTATAGCAATGACAAAGAATCCAGTGCATTATAGTAGAACAAAACACATATCAATCAAATGTCACTTTATCAGGGAAGTAGAAGGACCTAAAGAAATCAAGCTTGAGTATTGCACAACTGAAGATCAAGTTGCAGACATTTTTACTTAAATACTACCAAGACCAAAATTTGAACAGCTACGCACAAAGGTTGGAGTTACAGAAATTTGCATCAAGGAGGAGTATTATAAATTGATACAAATTTCTAGAATAGTTTAGAAAAATACTAGGAAAAATCTAAGAAAACTATTTAGATATTCTATTTTGTAGATACTTTTAGAGGTTCTAGAACATTGTAAATCTTCAAGTTTCAAGATACTTCTAGAAGAAAGTTCTAGAATATTGGATCACTCAAACCTAATGGTGGAAGATGCCTATAAATAGGCAAGCCATTCCATTGTAAATGATATGAATAAAAAGTAATCAAGACATCAATTCTCCATCTCTTGAGTCTCTTACTAAAACTTCTTCAACTACCATTTTCAACTATTCTTACTAACATTTCAACTATCTTACTCATCTTACCTACACAAAAAACTATCAGAAATTGATTTTCCAGAAAGCATATTCTACATTTATCAATCTGGTTTAGAAAATATATTATTTTCCTGTGTTCGGCACAGCAATATGCAAAACATGTCTTGCCAATCAAAATACACAACAAAGAACATTAGAACACCCAATCCTAATGCAGCAAGTGTCACCCGACCAACAGCAGCACCAACAATAACAGCAGTGTTACTCTTGGAAGACTTGGTCTGGCATGACGCCAATGATCTCCACATAGGCCTTGATTATTTGCATAATTCACCGTAACTTGACTTTTGTTAAAGCCAGGAACTGGACCTCTCAAAAGATTGTTGGATACAGAAAATACCTTTAGTCGTGTGAGAGCGCTAAATATAGTTAAATAATAAAATTGTAGGAAAATATAGTTAAATAAAATTGTAAAAAATGATAATAACTTCAAAACTACTCTTCTATATTGGCAATGAAATTTAATGATTACATTTACAACAAACATGATTAACAATAAAATTACATCTAACTCTTTAACTTTAAGTTAGGTTTATTATAAAAATAAAAATGAAAATAAGTACAAAAAATTTCTTAAAGTAAAAAAAATTTGTATTTTATTTAGTATATATAAGAGAAAGTACACATTGTTTGTTTGAATAAAATTTTGCAATAAAAATTCTTTCAAAATGACACCTACTAATTCAATACTTTCTGAAATACGACTTAGAAGGTGAATTGGAAGATAATGGTTCGAGTTATTTATTTGTGATTTTCTCATGAGTTTGGAAATAAAACTTA